GTGTGTGTGCACGCGTGTGTGTGCACACGTGTGCTCCTGTGCGCGTGCTCGCACGCGTGTGCACGTGCTTGCACTTGTGCCCGCATGTATGTGCATTTGTACGCGTGTATTCGCGCACGCCTGTGCATAGGTGTGCGCAGGCGTGCATATGTGTGCAAGCATGTGTGTCTGCACGTGTGCGTGCATGTCAGTGAGTGGGCAGATGAGTGTGCACATATGTGCACATGAGTGTGCTTGTCTGCGTGCCCGTGTGAGCGTGCAGCAGCCGTGAGAGCCCTCTGCCCGGGTGCTGCTGCTGCTGCAGGAGGCCCCGTGCACACGCTTGTGTCAGGGCGGCGGGAGGCCCCGTGCACACACACACACGTTTGTGGGAAGCCCCGTCCACGCGTGTGTCGGTGGGAAGAAGTGTGCACACGCGTGTCGGCGGGAGGCCCCGTGCCCACCCGTGTCAGGGCGGCGGGAGACCCTGTGCACACGCGTGTCGGGGGCGCCGGGAGGCCCCATGCACACGTGTGTTGGTGGGAGGCCCCATGCACACGCGTGTCAGGGCGGTGGGAAGCCACGTGCACATGCGTGGGCGCGACACGTGCGTCTCCCGGGGCACTGCACTGCATGGGCACTGCACCACACTGCATGGGCACTGCATGGGCACTGCACCACATGGGTACTGCACTGCATGGGCACTGCACGGGCACTGCACCGCGTGGGCACTGCATGGGCACTGCATGGGCACTGCACCACATGGGTACTGCATGGGCACCACACTGCACTGCATGGGCACCACGTGGGCACTGCATGGGCACTGCACTGCATGGGCACTGCACTGCACTGCATGGGCACTGCACTACACTGCATGGGCACCACACTGCACTGCATGGGCACTGCACTGCACTGCATGGGCACTGCATGGGCACTGCACTGCACTGCCTGGGCACTGCACTGCATGGGCACCGCACTGCATGGGCACCGCATGGGTACTGCACTGCATGGGCACTGCACCACACTGCATGGTCACTGCATGGGCACTGCACCGGCACTGCACCGCGTGGGCACTGCATGGGCACTGCATGGGCACTGCACTACACTACATGGGCACTGCACTGCATGGGCACTGCATGGGCACCACACCGCACTGCATGGGCACTGCATGGGTACTGCACCGCGTGGGCACTGCATGGGCACTGCATGGGTACTGCACTGCATGGGCACTGCACCACGTGGGCACTGCATGGGCACTGCATGGGCACTGCACTACACTACATGGGCACCACACTCCATGGGCACTGCACTGCATGGGCAGCGCACTGCATGGGAACTGCATGGGCACCACACTGCACCACAGCACAGTGCATGGGCACCGCACTGCACTGCATGGGCACCGCACTGCATGGGCACCGCACTGCACCACAGTACACTGCATGGGCACCGCACTGCACTGCATGGGCATTGCATGGGCATCGCACTGCATGGGCACTGCACCACACCACACTGCACGGGCACCGCACTGCACCGCACTTGCACCAGCACCGCACTGCATGGGCACCGCACCGCCACTGCACTGCACCGCAGCACACTGCATGGGCGGCCACACTTGAACCAGCACCACACTGCATCCACACCGCCCCACACTGCACGGGCACTGCACTGCAGCACAGCAGCACTGCACCCCATGGGCACCGCACCGCACAGGCACCGCACTGCACTGCAGCGCAGGGGGTGTGGGTGCTGGGGGGGAGTGTGGGGCGAATACAGCGCTGGGCACTGCACGGGCACTGGCACTGCATGTGCACTGCATAGGGCTGGTGTGTGTGTGTGTGGCACGGGTGCGGCGCGGGGGCCGGGCGGGGGGTGAACACGGCGCTGGGCACTGGCACGATGCGGGACGTGGCGTGGGCACTGGGAGGGAGGAGCAGTGCGGGGGGGCACTGCAAAGGGGCTGGACGTGGCACTGGGTGCTGCAGGGGGCGCTGCAGGGGGCTGGGGAGGGACAGTGGGCACTGTGGGCTGTGCTGGGCACTGGGCTGGGCACCAGGCACCGGGGACTGGGAAGGGCACTGGGCGCCATGGGCCATACTGGGAACTGGGCACTGGGCTGTGCGGGACACCGGGCACTGGGCCATACTGGGAACTGGGCACTGGGCTGTGCTGGGAACTGGGCACTGGGCCGTGCGGGACACCAGGCACTGGGCCATACTGGGAACTGGGCACTGGGCTGTGCTGGGAACTGGGCACTGGGCTGTGCAGGACACCGGGCACTGGGCCATACTGGGAACTGGGCACTGGGCCATGCGGGACACCGGGCACTGGGCCATACTGGGAACTGGGCACTGGGCTGTGCGGGACACTGGGCACTGGGCCATACTGGGAACTGGGCACTGGGCTGTGCTGGGAACTGGGCACTGGGCTGTGCGGGACACCGGGCACTGGGCCATACTGGGAACTGGGCACTGGGCTGTGCGGGACACTGGGCACTGGGCCATACTGGGAACTGGGCACTGGGCTGTGCTGGGAACTGGGCACTGGGCTGTGCGGGACACCGGGCACTGGGCCATACTGGGAACTGGGCACTGGGCTGTGCGGGACACTGGGCACTGGGCCATACTGGGAACTGGGCACTGGGCTGTGCTGGGAACTGGGCACTGGGCTGTGCGGGACACCGGGCACTGGGCCATACTGGGAACTGGGCACTGGGCTGTGCGGGACACCGGGAAGGCCGTGAGGCCTCGGGCAGGGCACTGGGTGTTCTGGGCTGTCCTGGGCACTGGGAGAGGAACTGGGTAGGGTGGGCTGTGATGGACAGTTTGAAGAGCACTGGACAGTGGGCATGGGGGGCACTGGTCATGGACACTGGGAAGGGCACTGGGAGGGGCCCTGGGCACTGGGAAGGGCACTGGGCACTGGGAATAGGAACTGGGGGGGGTACTGATCATCCAGCACTGGGCACTGGTCAGAGAGCACGGGGAAGGGCACTGGCCATGGGGCACTGGGCACTGGGAAGGGCACTGGGCACGGGGAAGGGCACTGGCCACGGGGCACTGGGCACTGGTCCCCACTGCTGGGGTGCCCCAGGGGAGCCCTGACCCCCCAGGGGAGCCTGGCACAGGGTGAGGTGCCCGAAGGCCTGGGCTCCCCCACTCATCCTCTCCACTCGGTCTCCAGTGGGGCTGCTGGGACCCCACAGCACAGGTATTTGGAGGCG